CTTTATTGTTTATTTACAAAAATTAGTGAAAATATAGATGTAAGATTACTTTGAAAGTCAAATGAGATAATACAGAAAAAAACTGGAAATTTTCAGAGCTTTGTGTAGATCTGATCTATGTTTAGATAGAATATCTAACTTTTAGATAGAATATCAGAAATGGAATCAATGATCCAGAAAAGTAGTCATGGGAAGTTCTTTTCTTGGCCTTCCCCTCCTTTTTTCCTCCTGTTCCTCTTTCTTATCCTTCCCCCTCCTTCCCCTCCTTATCTTCTTTATCCTCCAGGGAAATAGTAATGAGAAGCTCTTTTCTTGACTTTCTCTTTCCCTTCATTTTCTTCCTAGGGTGTAGCTCAGAGGTGGGTCACTTGCCTAGTATGCACAAGGCTCTAGGTTCAATCTTCAATATGCACACACACCAAAAAACCCTTCTTCTCCAGTTTCTGTCAAATCCAATGTTAGCAATTACATTTGAGGCCCCATTTTTTCACTTGTAAAGCATCTTACTCCTTTCATCAAAATTTCCCCAGTTTCTCAAGCCATATCTCTCCTCTCTTTCTCTATCTGCATGTATTTGTGTGTGTGTGTGTGTGTGTGTGTGTGTGTGTGTGTGTGTGTGTGTGTGTTCCACAGTACATGTGTAGAAGTCAGAAGACAACATCAGGTGCTAATCCTGCCTTGTTTGATACATGATGTCTTTTTTATTCATCACTATATACTTCAGGATAGCTGACCCATGAACTACTTGAGATTCTCCTCTCTCTACTTACCATCTCACCGTAGGATACCAAGTTTAGAGACATTTAGGATACATGCTGAGCTTTTATGTGGGATCTAAGCATATGATTTCAGGTCATCACACTTGAATGATCTAGTTTCATTTCTATAATTGTTGAATACCTTAACCAAAAGCAATTTTAGGGAAGAAAGGGTCTGTGTTACAGTTCCAGATCATATTCCATCCCTGAGAGAAATCAAGGTAGAAATTGAAGTCAGGCCTCCTCCTTCTATTCTTCCTGTTTCTCTTTTCTTCTCTCATTCCCACTCCTTCTCCTTCCCCACCCTTTCCCCTTCTTATCTCCTTTATCTTCCTCCTCCATAAAAACATTTGCAGAAAGTTTTTTTTTTCTTGGCCTCCTCCTCCTTTTCCTCCTGGAGTGAAGCTTAGAGGCAGGTAACTTGCATAGTTTGCACAAGGATCTAGGTTTGTCTTTATATTAAGAGATATCCCTGTTTGGAATATTCCTGTGGGTATCCTATCTCTAACCAGAAAACATACATTATAGCCAATGAAATGAGGTAGAAAATGTGGAGGATGCTTCTTGCTGGCTGGCAGGTAGGCTTCCTCTTAACTAGGTTTCTTACACAGCCCAGGACTACCACTTGCCTAGGGATGGGGCTGCCCACAGTGGGATGCATCTTCCTGCATAAATTAATCAAGGCAATCCCCAGGAGACATACCCAAAGGTCAATCTGACCTAGGTAATTCCCCAGTTGTTATTCACTTCCTAGATAATTCTAGACTGTATCAAGTTGACAGGGAAAGCCATCCAGGACTTACAGTAACACTTTTACTACTGAGCCATCTTTACAAATCTCCATTTCTCTATTTTTATCCCCACATATCTCTCCCACAACATACCATAATTTTATCAATTCTATGTTATGAGTAATATACATACACTAAGGTAGTATCATAAAATTTTGTTAAGAAAAAAGAAACTAAGTGAGCAAAGATAGATTTAAATTATCTTCCCAGACAGAGAAAAAAAATAAATATGCTAAGAGAACACACTCATTCATAAATATGTTTTTATCTTTGTAACATATGAAATATTATTGCTGTGATATAGTATCACCCCATCAAAACACAGATAACTGTTATTATTGTATATTTTTTAATTTTGAAATTATTTTTCATTTTATTTTTATTTGTTATATTTTTTGGACAGTTTCAGACATATATGATGTCTTCTGTTCACTCTAGTCCTGTACTCTCTCTTACCTCCCTCCTACTCTTTTTCTTCCTTCCTCCCCCTTACAGGTCCCTTTCCCATATTCATGTCTTTTTTTGTTTTATTTTGTGATCCACTGATTTTAAACAGGACTATATGTGCAGCCCCACATTTGGGACTCTGCATTGGTGATGGGTAGGTTTACCATCTAGTACACAACTGAAAGCAATGACTATTCTTCTCCCAGACTTTATCAGTTGCCAAAAATTCATTGAGGAGAGAAATGGCTCCATGAGCGTTTCCTTGATTCATGTTTGATGTTGACAGGCCCAGTGCAGACAGCCATACTGCTGTAAGATTATATTTGAAATAATTATATCCTGCCCTAAATTTTTTATTTTCTTTTTTTCTTTAAGAAATGTTTTATTCATTTTACATACCAACCAGATCCCCATCTCATCCCTCCTCCTGCTCCTCCCCCAGATTTCCCCCCCCCAACCCATCCCCCATCCTCTCCTCCAAAAAGGTAAGGCCTCCCATGGGGAGTCAGCAGAGCCTGGTACATTCAGTTGAGGCAGGTTCAAGCCCCTCCCTGCTGCATCAAGGCTGTGCAAGGTGTCCTGCCTTAGGTAATGGACTCAAAAGAGCCAGCTCATGCACCAGGGATAGATCCTCATCTCACTGCCAGGGGGCCCCTTAAACACACCAAGCTATATAATTGTCTCGCTTGTGCAGAGGGCCTAGTCCAGTCCCATGCCCCTACTCCAGTAATCAGATTGGTGAATACCCTAACTGTCACCATAGATCCTTCATCCAGTAACCAACTGATAGAAGCAGAAGCAGAGATCCACAGCCAAGCACCAGGTCAAGTTCCAGGAATCCAGTCAAAGAGAAGAAAGAGGGATTCTATGACCTAGGGGCATCAAGATTATGATGGGAAAATCTATAGAGACAACCAAACCAAGCTAGTGGGAACTCATAAACTTTAGACCAACAACTGTGGTGCCCTGAATATTTAAATAAAAGTTTTATTTATTTATTTATTTGTTTGTTTGTTTGTGTATACATGCATGTCCTCATATACATGTTGAAATTAAAGTAATACTGTGGGAGTCAGTTCTCTCCTTCTACCATGTGGGTCCAAAGTATTGAACTCAGAAGGCCAGGCTTGGTGGCAAGTACTTTTAGTCAATGAACCATCTTGCCAACTATATTATTATATATTGTTTTAGTAAAATTATTGGTGATGATAGTTATCATGACTATTATCACAGGACAAGGCACATAATAATGGCCAAGTAAGATGCAGTCATTATTCCTTATATATAAGTCTCAGAATGTTTCATAATGACTTCGACTTCCAGGTCTACCCTCTTTTCATCTCTTGTGCTTACATAACATCCCTTATCATTAATCTTTCTTTCCTATTTGCAGGTTATAACTATCAGTACTGGACCCCTACCACAAGCAGTGAGTACTCAAAACTGTGATGTCCCAATATCTCTAGGACCCCCTTCCCTAGAATCAACTCCATAAAAGAAAAATGTACAATATCATTCCCATAAGTTCTCCAGAGCAGCTCCATCAACCCTTCCAATCCACATCGCCTACTCCAAACTCTACAGCTAAAAACAATGACTCAAGAGGTTTTGATACTGCCACACTGCTTTGTATGGTATCTGCTCCTCGCTCAGCCTGTTCTGCACAGTCTATGGTTGGGCCACCCCAGACATTAGTTTGTTCTTTTAGTACCCTAACCTCGGTCCAACCACACTACTTTCACTAGCTACTTATGCAGGCCGACTATCTCTGATTTCTCAATTTCCTAATCTCACCTCAAGGATCTGAAAGACTTTTCCAGACTACCTTTTATTACTAACCCTTTCTTTACATTCACATCTGGCCCATTTTTTCCCTCTCATCATGATGACTAATTGTTTGCTTGTTTCTTCTATGGAATTTACTTCTACTTTATTCACTCCTCATGTATTTATCACCTACTTCATACTCACTTTTTATTTATAGATTGAATGATTGAATTCATGAATAAGCAATCTGCATATGTTCATGTATGAATTATATTTGAATATTAGAAAACTATTCTGGATCATAGTCATGATTGTGATTATTGTCCTATCTCTTTATTTTTCCCAGACATGGGCATAGGGTCTACTAAGACTCCAGGCATCTGCCACAGAGATAAATTCTGTCAAACTGAAGCCCTCGGGCAGGCTTGGGGCACACAATCCAACCTTATGCTATAGGGGCTACAAAAATATAGTACAGTGACTGTATCACTTTAGCTTCAGAAATAAATATCTTTGTCTGGGGAAATGGATCAGTGGGTAAAAGCACTTACTGTGAAAAGTCAGGTGTGACCCCAGCACTATGGAAGGCAGGAATGGGAAGATCCCTGGGGCTTGCTGGTTGCAAGCCTACCTCCAAAATCAGTGAGACCCTGTCACAAAGAAATCAGAAAGACACAGAACAAAACACTGCAGGGCTTTTCTGGCCTCCTTGCATGCCTAGGTACATGCACCTGCACACACACACCTTGCACATACATCACACACATACAACACACTTGCACACCAGTAAGTAAATAAATGAATAAATAACTCAAACCCACATGCATTATTTGGTCAAAATACATAAATAGCCCAAGTATATGTGAGCATGTTAATTGATAAAAATAAATACAGTGTATCTATGCAGTCAGATATTATTAGCCCTAAAAAGAAGGAAATTCTCACATTTAACATAGATAATATTGAGAATATCCTCACAAAAAGAGAAATGCTATATGATTTTTCTCATGAGAGGTATAGAATAGTAAAATTCATATAAACCAAAAGTACCAATAGTGGTTGCTACAGGTTAGAGAAGGACAAATGGGGGCTGTTTAATTACTTAGAGTTTTAGTTTTGTAAGATGAGAAGATTCTGAAGACTGGTTACACAGCAGCTAAATTCAACCATTCCTTTGACTATAGCCATCTGGGTTACGATGCATATTAAACTTCCCACTTCCTCTTTTCTGCTGCAGGTACAACCCCATCTCTGGAACACTTCACTCTCAACTTCACTATAACCAACCTGCGCCATAGAGAGGGCATGGGATCCCAAGGATCTGAAATATTCAACAGCACAGAGAGAATCTTGAATCGATTGGTCAGAACTCTTTCACACTCACTCTGTCCATTCTCAGTCTTGTATCTCTTGGTCCCTTAGATCATCTTCTCTTTTGTCCATAGCTCAAGCCCATGTTCGAGAATACCAGTATCGGGCACCTTTATTCTGGTTGTAGACTGATCTTGCTGAGGTAAGAACTTTATAGTTGTTATGCAGGGCATGTAGAAAATCACCATCAGATAACTCCTAACTCCTTGCTCCTAGTGTTCTCCTTCTAGGAGAAGGTGACCTCCAACTTCTCTCCAGTCCTTTCCCTTTCAGACTGAAAAGTGTAGACTCCATTTCCTTTCACAAGACAATGATGTTTCATTTTATTAAGCACTTTCTGCTATGTTTTGTTATAATTTCATTTATGGTGCTGTAGTAAAATACTCTGACAAAAAAAAAGAAATACACAGAAGGAAATGTTTACTTGGGTTATAGTTCTAGACTACAGTCCATCGAGTGGAGAAGTTATAGTGGAAAGGGCTTGAGACAACTGATCACATCATACCCACAGTCAAGAGTAGAGAAAAATTAATGCACCCATCTCCCTGTTGGCTGCTTGCTAGCCTTCTTCAGTCCTACAGGCTCAAGATTGATGCTACCCATGATGATCTGGGTCTTCCTACATCAAATAACAAACAAGACCATTTCTCACAGGCTTGGTGACAAACTCAGCTGATATCATTAATTCTTCATTAAGACTTTTCCCAGGCAATTCGAGCTTGTGGTAGGTTGACATTTAAAATTAACCATCACAGGTCTGAAACTGTTGATTCATTTTACACACAAAAATAATTCATAGAGACAGAGATGTGGAGAAACATCTGGCATCATTCAGTGGTTGAATAGGAGTTACACCAATTGAAATTGTTTGTTTGTTTTTTACCTTATTTGCAAACTTCTTTTCCCACTTCCATTGTCACATTTCTTAGTACGGCATGTTAAGTCATGTTATAGATGTCACGTTAAAGGATAGCACAGATACTGGCATGTTTAGATGCTGTCCTTTTTGCAAGGTCCTTGGCTCTGTTATTGTTTTCTTCTGCCACAAAGATCATTAATTGTTCATCAGTTGCCCCACTTCTCTTCTCCCTCAGTGAAACTTTTGTGAGCCCCAACCTGGAGTTTCCATCTCCCCATCTCTGTCTCATTTCCTTGCTCAGGCCTGAGAAAGATGGAACAGCCACTGGAGTGGATGCTGTCTGCACTTACCATTCTGATCCCACGGGCCTTACGCTGGACAGAGAGAAGCTGTACTGGGAATTTAGTCATAATACCCAAGGTGTCACCAAGCTAGGATCCTTTGCTTTAGAAAAGGACAGTCTGTACATCAATGGTGAGCATCCTCTTAGGAACCATAAGCTGAAGATGAGAATGTTACCCTAAGATAAGTGGGCTCTCTCATTGGTCACAAGACCCTTCCTGTTGCTACCTGCTGCTGACACGTAAGCTTTGAGTCTTCAAGTCATTCTCTTCTCTCTGTATTGCTGCATTATAAAGGCATTATTTAAATATGTATCTAACCTACAAAAGCTTTCCTCTATCCACATCTACAACCATCTCTGGTTGAAGCCAACGGCGGTTCAGTAGTGGTTCAAGTCTAGGGTTGTTTGTTGTTTTGTTTTACTTTGAGGTAGGTCTTGCTATGTGACTGAGGCTGTCCTAGAACTAACAGCATAACCCAGTCTATCTTCAAACTGATGATTCCCATTTCAGCCTCACCTGAGTGCTGGGGTTAGAGGTATATACCCAATATCTGCCTATATCATATCTATGTGGAGCTAAAATGTCTCTATCATGCTTGCTATGCATCAGGCCATATTCTCTGATCAGAAGCTTTCATTTGAAACTTCATACTTAGCTGGGAGTGATGGCTCATGCCTGTAATCCTTGAGTGTGCCTGGTACGTTCAGGGATCATGATTTGATCTCTAGTACTATAAGGAAGAAGAGGAGAAGGGGAGGAATAAGGGAGTAAAATGAAGGAGAAGAAGCAGAAGCAGAAACAAGAAGCATTTACCAGGTGAGGCAGCCCCTGTTTGCAATCAAAGTACTTAAAAGGCGAGATGGAAGGTTTTCTGCAAGTTTGTGCTCAGCCTGGGTTACATAGAGAGTTCAAGACCTGCCTGGGCTACAGACTCTGATTCTAACTCAAATAAAATAAGGATTCGCCGGGCGGTGGTGGCGCACGCCTTTAATCCCAGCACTCGGGAGGCTGAGGCAGGCGGATCTCTGTGAGTTCGAGGCCAGCCTGGTCTACAGCGCGAGATCCAGGAAAGGGGCAAAGCTACACAGAGAAACCCTGTCTCGAAAAACCAAAAAAAAAAAAAATGATTCAATCTCAAACAAAACAAAAAGTTGAATCTTTCATCTTCCTCCCTATGTACTTTGAAAAGTAACAGTTTACAAATATATATGGTAGAATTGGGTTGTGTTTAAATTGTAAGTCCATGAGAATAGAGATAGTTCTTTTGATGACACTTTTTTTTTGGTGTTTTGGTTTCTTTGAGACAGGGTTTGTCATTTCTCTGTGTAGCCCTGGATATCTTGGAACTCACTCTATAGACCAAGCTGGCCTGGAACTCAGAGAGATCCTCCTGACTATTTCTCTGCCTCTGCCTCTGTAGTGCTGTGTGATTAAAGGTATGCGCCACCACTGCCCAGCCAATGACATCTGGATTCTAAGTGTTCCACTGTATAGACTTGAAGTCTCAGCTGGAGATGGTGATGATGGGTCTCAGCTATACCATAAACATTTCTGTCCTTGTATCCCTATTCTTTCCTTTTCTTGTTGCAGATTTTACCCATCGAACCTCTGCTTCCACTCCCAACAGTGAGTACTTAAATGTCTGATGATTGTGTTCACCACACCTTGTGGGAGCAGTAGCTGATACATACCCTACTGAATCCCAGGTCATGGAGAAGAAAAAAATAGATTAAAAGCTGGACTGTCACAACCACCGCCATATATATTTATGGCCTGATTTGGAGAGCAAAGATACTCTCTTGGACATTCATGCACTATTTCAAATACCATGTTTTTACTCTAATCCATTTCTTCTCAGCACCTGTGACCTCTTCTCTGTTTTTCACAGGGACCTCCACTGAACACCCTAACCTCTCTACAGGTAGGTGACTTCTCTCTACAACTCCTTCTAGGAAGCCAACATTCCCAGTTTCATAGATAGGACTTTGGAGATAGTTGAAAAAACCGAGAATGTTCGTGGGTACCTCCTGTTCTATGCATTTCTCAAGAGCAGGAGACATGCCACCCTCAAATTTTCATCCATATCAATCTTGGACAACTTGTTTATCTTCTCAGTGCCTCAGTTTCTTCAACTACCAAATGATACATTTATTTAAAACTTCACACTAAGACCTTTTAAGGTCACTTCCTTAATCCCACCACTTGTAGCTCAGTAGTAGAATGCTTGAATAACAGGCCCAAGTTCAGGGTTTGGATTTATTTTAATTTTATTTTTTGTGAATATGTATGTATCTATGTGAGTTTATGCTATGTGCAGGTGGCCACAGAGGCCAGAAGAGAGTGTTAGATCCCCTGTGGTTGGAATTGTAAGAATTTGTGAGCCACCAGATATGGGTGCTGTGAACTAATTCTGGGTCCTCTGACAGAGCAGGAAGTGATCTTAATTGCTGAGCCATTTTTTGCAACCCTACATCCTGGGTTTAATCAGGAAATATTTACTTAGCACCTCTTTTGTATTATATATAGGGGATAAAATGTTGAATAAATAACATATAGTTCATCACAGGTTCAGTGCATTAGGTAAAGAAGTAAGATATGTAATTATAATTAATAATAAAAAACACTAAGAGAGGCACTAGTGATGTTCCTCAGTTAATAGACTACTCCCCCACCATACATAAAGCTCTATGTTCAATCCACAGCACCCCATAAAATTAGGTGTGGTGTCACACACCTGTTATTCTAGAATTCAAGTGGTAGAGACAAGAAGATCAGAAGATCAAGGACATCCGTGGCTACATAGAGAGCTCAAGACCAGCCCCGGGGTCCATGAGAACCTGTCTACAAAAGATAGACTTTTATGAAGTTTCACCCTCCCATGTATCATACCATATGCTGTGTGGTTTTATATTTTTTAATCTTTTTGTTTTGAATTAATAATAATAGATTCAAGAACTATTGGAAATTAGTATGAACTTCCTTTATATCATTCACCTATTTTCCATCCATACCTAGACCTTATGTTACCCTGGTATATATAAAAATAAAGGAAACGACACTATCAAAGTCTACAGACTTCAGTCAGAGCTTACTGGTTGTTCTAATTTACTTCTCCTTTGCTATGATAAAACACTCTGAACAAAAGCAACTTCAGGAAGTGCCTTTACTTCTCATTTTGGCTTATGCTTCCAGGTTATAGTCCATCACTGAGGAAAGTAAGTGTAGGAACTCATGCCAAGAACTTGGAGGCAGGAACCATGGAGGAATTATGCTTGCTGGCTTGTTTTAGCCACAAACCTAGCTAAGATTCTTAGACAGCCCAGGACCACCTGCTGTGGGAATGGAGCCACCCACAGTAGGATGGGCCCTCCTATATCAACTAATAAGACAACCATCTGTAGATGTACCCACAGGCCAATCTGATCGAGGCAATTCTCAAAGGAGACTTTTCCTCTCAGTTGCTTCTAGGGCAGTAGTTCTCAACCAGTGGGTCACTACCCCTTTGGCAAATCTCTAGCTCTAAAAATATTTACATCTTTACAATTCATAACACTTGCAAAATTACAGTTAGGAAGTAGCAATGAAAATCATTTTATGGTTGGGGGATCACCACAATATGAGGAACTCTGTAAAGGGTCGCAGCATTAGAAAAGTTGAGAACCACTGTTCTAGGGTTGCCAAGTTGACAAGTAGCTTATTGGGTGACAGTTACATAAGCACCTGTCCATATATGTGTTTCTATAGCAGTTATCACATGAACAGATTCCTGAGGCCACTACCACAGTCAAGGTCTAGAACTGCTCAATCCCCACAAAATCTTCTTCCTGTCAATCCAACCACCAGCAATCACTAATGTTTTCCTTCTCTGTAGTAATATTATTTTAAGGGCATTACATAGATGGGAAAATACAAGGTATGACTTTTGGGATCAGCTTTTTTCCTACTCATTCCAATGCCCTTGAAGGATTTTAGTCTTTCTCTTTTTTTCTTTCCTTCTTCCTTTTCTCTTTTTCAGTGCTAGGGATCAAACTCAGGGTCATGATAGGCAAGTATTTTACCACTTATTTGTACACATAGTCCCCTCCTTTTCTATTTTGATACATGATCTTGCTATGCAGCCCAGACTGACTTCTAACTTGTAGTGTCTGTCTTTCCTCTTGGTTGCAATCTCCTTTGTGATTTACACAGTCATGTAGCTTTCATAATTTCCCTACACACTTTGCTTCTCCTTATTTACAGTGGATGGAAGTGAGGGACTGTCAGGGGATACATCCACATATATTGATTAGTGATAAGGTCAGGGATGTTTTGAAACTAAATCTAGCTCAACATTGTCCTATAACCATGATAACAAAGCCTCTACAGGGTGCTGTATTCATTAAAGGACAAGTTTTGAGAAAGATGGGGTTGAATTGGTGAGAGAAGGCTTCTCTAAGGGATGCAGTTAGGTTCATGTTCAAAACGTTTGTTAAATATTGAATAGGCTTGAATTAACATTTTTTTCTCTTCCTTTCCTCCAAACCATAAAACTTCTTTTTTTTAAACCTTTGGGTTTAAAAGGAGCTTTTAAGAGTTGTACCTCAATTCCTAGCCAGTTGGCCTGGTTCACAGACCTACACTAGTACTTTCTCTATGTCTGTGGCACACTTCTGCCATAGTTCAGTAGCTCTGTTCACACATATACATTTGTAAGTCCATTTTAACATTGTGCTTTCACCATCTCAAATCCTTCCTTTACATCAGCGTTTGGCGCTCTTGAGAACTCTGCACCTGAATCTCTACCTATTTGGAAGTGAAAAGGTACCATAGTTGCCAATACATAAACAATGTGTGCACTGTTTCTTCTGAGGCTTTTGGTCTTCCTGTCCTAAGCACCATGATCTGATTTCTTGTTTCAAACTTCCTGTCTTGGTCCTCAGAAGTTGTCTTAGAGGTAAGACCAAGTATGACATAGACATGACACTTGGTCTTGTCACATCTGTTTTCCCCTCTGATTGCAGTGGCCATGCCTGTCACTGCCCAGTTCACCCTCAACTTCACCATCACTAACCTGGAGTTCAAGGAATACATGCTGTACCACGGCTCCAGGAAATTCAACACTCTGGAGCGAGTCCTCCAGCACCTGGTGAGAGGCCTGCCCATTGCATCCAAGCTTCACCTTTCTCTGGTCTTGCTCCTGTTACCTGGGTCACAGCTCCTCCTGGCTTTGCTCAGTGGTTCCTTCTTATTTTCCCTCTCCTTTCTCACAGCTCAAACCCCTGTTCAAGACCAGCAGTCTGGGATCCCTCTATTCAGGCTGTGTACTGGTGGCACTCAGGTGAGTCTATCCCAACACAAACTCAGCCACACAGGTGGATGGAACTGAGCAATGGGCTCCCCAACTGTTCGACTGTTTGTATTTACAATCACTATAGTCTGACTATGAAGCATCAACAATACCAGCAGCTAAATGTTATTAAGCACCAAACCCCTGAACTATTTTATAATTAATAGTTCATAGTATTTTATATTTAATAATTCATCAGTTCAAGCAAAAGCTTCATGAAGCAGGAACAGAAAGGGAAACCAAGGTGCAGATAAATAAATGCTTTATGTTAGGTCCCACAGAATAATCACAACATTTCAGGTACCAGATCCAAACACACATGTATAGTGTACACATGGATATACTTCTGTAAATGCCACATACATTAATATAAACTACATATTACATACTAACTAATCATGGTAATTAATTATATAGAAGTAAGCTATAAAATACTTATATAAAATATTTATGTAGGGGATAAAGATATAGTTCACTGGTAGAGTGTTTTTTGCATAGCAACCACTAGGTCCTAGAAATCAAAAAATAGTTATATGTAGGGCTAGGCTATGACTCAATGTTAGAGTGCTTGCCTATTTTGGGGCAAGCCCAAGGTTTCTTCTCCATCAGCACATAATAGGTATAATAACATAGCATATAATATAATTATATATTTTATGTTTCAACAACACTTAAATATCTAATATTTATATATTGAATTACATATATTTATACATCTATATTTCATATTTTAAATTTTATGTAATTGTGCTATTACATATATCACATTGATAATCACTGTAGGAACTGAGCAATATCAACCCATTAGGATTGCTCTGAGGATGAATGATTTATTTGTTATAGAATTAATATGCCTTCCTAATGAAAAATCACTCTGCAAAGTTAGACATTAATAAAGAAAAATGCTCTTTAATAATAGCACATGACTAGTTCCATCTAATGAACAAAAGTGAACCAGCCTCAAACAGAAATTTTACCAATTTACATAGACCTTAGGCTTGATGCCATCCTTAAATCTCATTTAGGTCCTGGCCTCAGTTTACACTTTGAGCAATTTAAACAGGAACAGGAGACTTCAAGCCTGGCTACTTGGGCAGATGGGAGATTTACACAATGAAGACATTGTGAGAATTATTTTTTTAAGTATACCTGTGTTGTTCTTTTCAAATACTTGTTACCCAGGGTCATCTTGCCCATCTGGTAGAATTATATTTTTCCTTATAAGAGCACAAGAGAGTTAGGTGCTGACCAAGACTTAATGGTAGTTATGAGCCTGAGCTGTCCCATTGAGATGCTATTAGAGGTATATTCTTGGACATGGGGAAGGGCCTAATGGCTAATTATGAGTCAAGGTTGTAGTGATACTGTGTTCCCCAAAATATTGTGCACCCTAATAAACTTATCTGGGGTCAGAGAACAGAACAGTCACTAGATACAGAGGCCAGAAAATGGTGGCACACATGCCTTTAATCCTAGCATTCCAGAGGCAGATATCCATCTGGATCTCTGTGAGTTGAAGGCCACACTGGAAACAGCCAGGCATGGTAACAAGAGCCTTTAATCCCAGGAAGTGATGGCAGAAAGCAGAAAGGTGTAATATAAGGCATGAAAACCAGGACCTAGGGCTAGTTAAGGTTTTAGGTTTTTGAGCAACAGTTCAGCTGAGATCCATTTGGATATGAGGACTCAGAGGCTTCTAGTCTGAGGAAACAGGATCAGCTGAGGAATGGACAAGGTGAGGTGGCTGTGGCTTGTTCTGCTTCTCTGATCTTCCATCTTTAACCCAATACCTGGCTCAGGTTTGTTTTTATTAATAAGAACTTTTAAGATTCATGCTACACAAGGTTGTCTCCTTTGTCATGGAATGGAACCTACTTGGAGATCAGTCTAGGTAAGCAGAAGTATTTTCTCAGCAACCCTCAATTTCAATTATGGTACAAAATTTTCTTTCCAACAGTTCCTAGAAACTTTCATTAGTACACTATTTATTATGCAGTAATATAGAGGCAGCTTTCATTTAGTTAAATTCTACATTATGCAACAATATTTTCTAAGCAAGTTTATTAGTAAATCTTTTATAACATCAATTTTATTACTTTAAGTTTCTCCTGCATCACAGTTATGAATACAAAGGGCTGGGCCCCTGCCTGGGGAATGTTGAGTAAATGATTATTATTACACTTGAAAAAAAATGAATTTGCAGCCATGGGGCATGAGAGCACTTCATTCCCTGGCTGGTTAGCTGGATCAGTACTTTGCAGCTAATGCTGATTGGGCAAGTCTATCATCCTGCTACCCAAGAGGTTTCTTCAGTAAGAGCTTTATGAAGCTGCACGGGAAACAGTTTCAGGGATAGCAAGTTCAAGCCCAGCCTAGAAAAAATACTGATATCTTGTCTCAAAAATAAAATTAAAAAAAAAATTAAAAAGGGAAGGCTGGAGATGTTGCTCAGCAACAGAATGCCTGCATAGAATTTACTAGTGAGGGGCTGGAATATACATGAAGCATAGAGTACATGCTTGGAATCCACAAGTGTGAGGTTGAGTTCCTTCTCTAATAGCACGCATGCATGCACACATGCCCACGCTCGCACGCGTGTGCACATACACACACACACACACACACACACACACACACACACACACACACACACACACACACGATGGTAAGGCATTGAGGCCTTCTTATGTCAAAATGAATCAGCAATTGTTTCAAACAGACCCCAAAATAGGCATTTCTCCTCAACAATGTAAGAGCTGTGATTATTCCTAGAAATCCCCAGCCCCTAGTGTTCCATAGGACCTGAGGTAACTAACATTAGACTTCTGAATGTGAGCTCTCTGAAGTACAATGTTAAGACCATCTCTTCTGAGACCACTTCTACCCATTAGAGCTTGGCTCTCAGAACCTTATGTCCATCAGAATCGATGAGAAGACTCAGCTATCCTGGGATCATGTGGATTTCTAATCTCTACCAATTCTACCCTCTCTCTGTCTGTCACATGTTTGAAGAGGCTTCTTCCACAACCTACAAAGGTGGCTGCCCTTGTGATCCTAGCTATTGGTTATATTGGTGTTTGTTTCTTCACAAGGCAACTTCTTTGTTAGAATATCTTAATTTTTTGAGTTGGGGGCTGGCAGAAAGAGAGAGGAAAGAAGAAACGGTGGGAGGCGGAGCTACCCCAACTATGTTCTGTATTTACCCAGGTCTAGGAAGGACGGAACAGCCACCAGAGTGGATGCCATCTGCACATATCACCCTGACCCCAAAGGCCACAGATTGGACAGGGAGCAGCTATACTGGGAGCTGAGTAGGTTGACTCATAGTGTCACCAGATTGGATCCCTACACCCTGGACAGGGACAGCCTCTATGTCAATGGTAAGCATCTGGATGTGGCTGAAGTTTCTTCTTAGATTGGCAGCATCTACTCTCTGGCTTTGGTCACCCTCCCTGCCTGGCTCTTAAGAGACTAGCCATGTGCTCAATAGGTGCTGACTCAAATTGGGATCTCATCTGTTCCTCAGTTTGAACTGACCTCACCCTTGTCTATAGAGAATCCCTGATAGGCCTGACTTCATGAACCCCAATCCATTATATATCTTTAAGTCTCTCTGATATTTCTGTCAGTTACTTCTCTCCTTATAGATAACTGAGAGAAGCAACTTAAGTTGAGATGTGTTTATTTGCACTTGTAGCTTTATAAGGGACAATCTACCATGGAGGAAAGGTGGTTGAAACAGTTCCTCCATAGCAATGCCAGCTCACGACTCTGTTTGTTGCGGATCAGAAAGCACAGATTCTAAACCAAACCCAGGGCAGTATGTCTTTAAAAGCCCACCATTGATGGTTTATGACCACCAACTAGGTCCCAGTTCCCTGAGATTTCACAGCCTCCCAAAACTGTGCCATCAGATTGGGGACAATTGTTTGAACGCTAGGGCCTGTGAATGCCATTTTGCGATCAAACCACAATAGTACATTTCTCTCTCTCAACCCTGACACTCTTTTATCCTCTGTTGTTACTGCAGGTTTCACCCATCAGAGCTCTGCACTTATCACCAGCACTGAGTATTCAACAGATGTTCCAGTGACTCCCCATCTTACACCAAGTAAAGCAGGAGCTGACCCCTCCTAATGCCTCTCATGTTCTTTGACTGGAGCAAGGGATCTGAGAGGGCAGTTATTACCTCCTTCTCTGTCTGCACTTCCAAGATAGTCCCAATTCAAGCTTTCTATGCAAAAACTTACATTAATCTTTTCTGGTATGTCTGCTATGAAAGTGCCTTGCTTTTTCACTAATGATGGTTTCTTTTTAGCTCCTGGGACTACCACAGTAAACCTAGGAACTTCCGAGGCTCACTCCTTCCCCAGAACCACAGGCAAGTACCAGTTTGTGGCATCTATGTTAGAAGGAGCATGAAAAGTGTCAATACCTCTAATATATGTACTGAAAGATAGGCTGTCACAGTAAATATAGCAATTTCATCAACCAACAACCTTCATTAAGCACCTAATCTGTGCCAGACAGTGGAAGACATAGCAGGAAACACACAAAAAAGGTATCTGCCCTTAGAATTTATATTTTTATGGGACTTCTAATGGTGCTGATGTTGGTGTTCATAGTGTTAACAGAAGTGGTGTTGATAGAAGTAATCATGTTGATGATATTAATGGTTATAGTGGTGGTGGTAAAAGTGTTAATAATTGTGACAGTGGTGATGTACTGATTATTATTAAGCTAGTGTTGATAATGATGATGATGGTATCTTTGATGATGCTGGTGATAGCTGCAATGGTGATATTGGTGATGCTGATGATAGTGAAGATAATGTTGGATTATAGTGATATGATGATGTTGGTGGTGGTAGTGTTAGTGATGGTGGTAATGATCCTATTAATGCTGATGATGTTGATGATGATGATGGTAACGAAGATGATGGTGTTGGTAGTGATAATGCTAATAATGGTGGTGGTAGTGATGCTAACAATGGTGATATTAAAGACAGAGTTAATGGTGTTGGTAGTAATGGTGTTAATGATGACATTGATGAAGATAGTAATGTTTGGTTACAGTAGGATGACCATGTTTGGTGGTGGTAGAGGTGATGAAACTGATGGTGATTGTGGGGCGTTTACCCGCCATCCCACAGCTCCCCGGAGTTTTCTTGAGTGTGAGCAGCAGGAAATATTAGATAGAAGGATTTAGATTGTGGAGATGATTGTATTGGCGGTATTGATAATAGTGTTAGTGCTGACAGTGTTAAGGGTAATGGTGGTGGTAGTTTTGATGATGGCATTGATTATGGTGGTTATGTTATTGGTTATAATAATGGTATTGATGATGCTCTAGCAATGAATGTTGATTATGGTGATGTGTGATGATAATGATGGAAGTGATGTCTATAAAAACAGTGATGGCAAAAACAACGATGATGAAGATAAGGATGATGTTGACAACAAAGTTGAAAGATAATATCTGACCTAAATACTGAATGCTATTCATTTTTATACTATGAACCTAACTAGCTGTATCTTATATCCCCTTTAAACAAGCTTTATAGGCAAGAGAGGTATAGAAACACTTTTATCACTCATTTACTAAAGTCGGCATATATTAATTATATAAGATAGTTGGTTTCATTATGACATTTTCATACATATATATAATGTACTTTTCTCATACTCACCTTTCCTTACTTCTCTTGTCCTCTGCTATCCTCTCCCTTGTCTCCTTTCTCTTCCAAAATAGTCTTTCTAATTTGACAAATTTTAAACTTTATTTTTAAATCTAGATTCTACATATAAGATAAAATGCATGTTTGTCTTTTTGAACGGCTTGCTTTACTTAACATGATGCTGTACAGTTCCACCCATTTTTTGCAAATGTCATATTTCATTCTTCTTTATAGTAGATAACATTCAATTGCATCTATATACCAGATTTTCTTTTTCCATTCATCTGTTGAAGGGTACAGGGGCTAATTCTTTTTCCTGGATTTTATGAATAGTTCTGAAATAAACAAAGACATGCAGGTATCTCTGTTGTATGTGACTTAGCTTCATTTAGGCAAAACAAGCAGTATTCACTTTTAATTTCTGGGTTGACTTTGAGAAATAAATCTATCATAAATTCTTATATTTTTCTCTACTTTTGAATAATATATTTACTACAGTTAACTCTGATATTGACCAAACCTGTTTTGCTTTTGGTAACACAATGCCTTATGCATGGTACGCTGTAAGAAATGTACTCATTCCTTCAAGAAAAGAAGGAATGAAGTATGTTTCTAGAAAAATATGGAAACATCCCTTCCTTTTACTGATTCAAATCTGCAGTAATTCTCAGATTTCCTCTATACAGCTATGTAGCACCTATACCAACCCTTCTTCCACAGTAAATGTCACCAGTTGATAATGGCATTCATTTGCATCTGAAACAAGTCCTCTTCCATGATAGACATCACCAGTTGATAGTAGCAGCCATTTCCACCTGTAACAAGCCCTCTTTTGTGGTAGATATCACCAGCTGGTAATACTATCCGTTTCTACCTGTAATAAGCCCTCTTCCTGGTAGAAAATACTAATTGATAGTAGTATCCACTTATTCTATATTTAAAGTAGCCCCAGAATCCTCACCACCCAAATACCTCAGGAAGTTACTTCTAATCCATTTTGATTATAAGATAGTCTAGGATTCTCTGACATGTAAGGAATTTTATAATTTTCCTGTGAGATATCTGTGATATTCAAGGCTTAGCATAAGCTCATCTGGGTCATGAGATGTGATTTCAGCCAGTTCCCTGCTTTCTCTGGCCAACAGCCAAAGAACAGTATACATTATTTCTACTCAATGACTTCGTAATTCTGTACTACAGTGACCTATTGATCAAAATGTCACAACCTTGGCCTTGGATCCTATAAGAACCTATCCTCAATATATATAAAGGAAAAGCTCAGAGGTATTGAAATTAATAGTGCAATCTCTAGATTTATCTGGCTTAAGAATTGAGTTCACCAAACTAGGCCCTCTGATTGTGGGTGAAAGTTTTATGACTTGATGTGTTTGTGGGTCCCTTGGCAATGGGAACAGGACTTACCCCGGATACACGAACTGGCTTTTTAGAGCTCATTCCCTATGGTGCAATGCCTTACTCAGCCTTGATGCTGGGGGGAGTGGCTAGGTCCAGCCTCAACTTGGTATGCCAGCCTGTGTTGACTACCCAAGGGAGGCCTTACCCTCTATGAGGAGGGAATAGGGGTAGAATGGGGGTGGGGGGGCAGGAGAAGAGAAGGGGAAGGGAACAGGGTCGGTATGTAAAAGGAAAGAAGAAAAAATTTGAATAAAAAATTATAAAAAAAAAGTTGAGTTCATCCAAGACCTAATACATAGTCAACTCTAAGCATGAGAAGTCAAATTGTCTATTGCTCCATGGGTTATTGTTTGAGGTCCCTTTACACACACCAAAATCTAAAGTTGTTTATGTTTCTTATGTAAAATGGCAAAGCATTTGAATGTAAACTTTGTACATTATCCATTATATTTTATAGTTCCTCTAGATAACATATAATATCTAATACTAGTAGAATGTTATATGGTATTGTTCAGGAAATAATGCTAAAAAAAAAGTAAACAGTACATATCTGATACAAATTCAGTTTTTCAAACAGATACTCAATCTGCACAATGCAAATGTGGAAACTAGAAACAAAGGGCTAACAATACTATGCCATTTTGTATAAGAGACTTGAGGGCTGGAGCTAGGACTCATCTGGTAGAGTGCTTGCCTTGCATGCACAAAGCTCTGAGTTCAAACCCTAACTCACCATAAAACAGGATCACATAACTGTCACTTCAGTACTTGGGAGGTGAAGGCAGGAAGATCAATGAGTTCATAGTCATTCTGGGTTACATAGTTCAAGTCCAGTCTGGGCTACATGAAAACCTGTTTCTAACTAACTAACTAACTAAATAAGACTTCAGCATCCAAAGATTTTAGTTTCCATCCTAATTTGGTTTTTCATTGTTAAGACAAATACTATGACCAAAACCAACTGGGAAAGGAAATGGTTCAATTGGTTTACAGGTTACAGTCCATCTTTGAGGAATTCCAAGGCAGGAACCTGGAGGCAGGAACTGAAGCAGAGGTCACAGAAAAATGCTACTTATAGGCTTGCTTTCTTATACAACCAAAAACCACCTGTGTAGTGGTAGCACCACACACAGTAGGCTGGGCCCTCCCACATCAAGCATTAATCAAGAAAATGTCCCACAGACATGGCCACAGGCTAAGCAGATGGAAGCTGTGGTAGCTTGAATGTAATTGGCCTCCATAAGCTCATAGGCAGTGCCATTATTAGGAGGTGTGGCTTTTTTGGAGTAGGTATGGCCTTGTTGAAGGAAGTGTGTCACTGTGGAGGAGGGCTTTGAGGTCACATATATGTTCAAGCCATGCCCAATGTCTTAGTTCACTTCCTGTTGCCTGCCTATGAAGATGTAGAACTCTCAGCTCAAGTCCCATGCCTGCCTGCGTGCTGCCAGGTCCCACCATGATGATAATGGACAGAACCTCTGAACTGTAAGCCACTCCATTAAATGTTTTCCTTTATAAGAGTTGCCATGGTCATAGTGTCCCTTCACAGCAATAGAAACCCTAAGACAGAGGCAATTTCTCAATTGAGATTTCCTCTTCCAAAGTGGCACTATTTTTTTGTTAAGTGGACAAAAACTAGACAGTACAGTATTCTTCATGAGGATGTAAAACTGCTTATAGGACCACTTCACTGGTGATATTTTTATTATTAAGAAAGGAATGATTATAGATACAAAAGAGATGGAAATTGATATAATAGACATTTGTCGTACAGAAGGACATTTGATGGCTTTGTTGAGTACCAGGCAATAACTTGAGGGATAGCAGTGAGGAAAACAGTGGAAGTCATTGCCATAGAGTTGGTGGGATTGCAATCTAAGAAAAGGAATTAATTACTAAAATAAGACATCTTAAGAGCATCCTGGCCTCTTTCCTTCTGTCACTCTACTTTCCACCCATCAGAACGCTTGGTCTAGAACATATCAATTTGGGTCCATTGTTTTCTTCACCCTCACTCCACCTGTCATCCAGGCCACTAATACCTCTTACTCAGACACCAGAAATGGCTTTCCTGGGGTTTCTCTGCTTCTATTTTTCCCTCTGTAATCTGTTTACCACACACCAACCACAGGAAGATTTTTAAATGTGTATCAAAAACCTGGGTATAGTGTCCCACACCTGAAATCCCAGCACTTGGAAGGCTGAGACAGGAGGATCTGAGTTCAAGGCCACTATGGACTATATAATAAGATTCTGGCTCAAGAAAGTTCATTAATTTAAAACATAATATCAGAGTATATTACTTTTCCAGATGAAATATTTCTGTAATTTCTCATTATTGCAAGATTCACATTTGGGGCTGGGGAGATGGCTCAGCATTTAAGAGCACTAAGGGCTCTTGCAGAGCGGGTTCAGTTCCCATCACCCACATGGCAGCTTCCCACCATCTGTAACTCCAGTCCCAGGGCTTCTGGTGCCCTCTTCTGACCTCTACAGGCACTACATGCATGTGGTCCACAGACCTACACAGGCAAAACACCCATACATGCAAAATTAAAATAAATGTGATAAAACAAAACACATTACTCACTACACATACCTCTCAATGACCATTCCTTTCTTTTTTCTTCCCTCTCTCTCCCTCTTTCTCGCTTCCTTCTTCCCAACCTCACCTTTTCTCCCTCCCTCCCTTCCCTTTTGCTTCCTTCCTCTCTCCTGCCTTCCTTTTCCTTTTCTACCCTCTTTCTTTTTCCCTCTCATACTTCATTTTTCTTTCTTCCTCTGTTCTTCCCTTCCTGACTTCACCCTTTTCCTTCTTCCTTCCTCCCTTTCTTTCTTTCTTTCTTTCTTTCTTTCTTTCTTTCTTTCTCCCTTTCCTTTCTTTCTTTCTTTCTTTCTTTCTTTCTTTCTTTCTTTCTTTCTTTCTTTCTTTCTTTCTTTCTCCCTTTCCTTTCTTTCCTCCCTTCCTTCTTCATAGCTTGCGATTAGTTTCACCAAGAGAAGGCGTTGGTAGAACGGTGGTGGAGAGGTCAGCAAGGGTCTCTCTCACCAGTTCTCTCTTTCTCCTTCGTTCATTATGGACAGTGAGGGCTGTGTTTCCTCCATGGGTTGCTGATACTCTCTGACATGACAATGCTTTGCCCTTTGTCTTCCAGATCTTTGGGATTGATTTCCTAATATTTGCATCACTCCTTCAGGGGGTTAGTTTTATTGTTATTGTTGGGGTTCTTTCATAATTAAATATCAGACATTTATTCTATTTTACTAACCAGAAATATTTGCTATGTTATTCCTTGTAGGGAATACATATTTACTGAAGAAAGGAAGAAAATAAAAATTGCAATCAGTGGGGCTAGAGAGATAGGTCATTGATGAAATGCTTATGCTTGCTTTACAAGTATGAGGATCCAAGTTCTATTCCCAGAACCCATATGCTCACTTGTAATCTCTGTGCTTCAGAGATAGGATAGGTAGGTTCCTGGTGCTATCTGGCTAGATAGACCAGTCGATGTGGTGAAATCTAGGCTAAAGAGACTTATCTCAAAAGAATAATAGAAGGGGATAGACAGTGTTCAAGGAATGACATCCAAGGATGTCCTCCCCCTGCCACACACACACAGACATACACACACACTCACATACACACACACACGTACACACACACACACACACATCATACATATGTATATACACAGGCGCATACATTCCCATGTATATGAACATAGACACAATAAAGAGCAGTCACATATAACTTAATTTAGGGTCCATGTCTGCTCTGGTTCAAGAACCAATTGAGCAGTTGGTAAAGGTTGTAGGACCCCTCCTCTCTCTCTTGCAAACACAGAGAGAGAGAGAGAGAGAGAGAGAGAGAGAGAGAGAGAGAGAGAGTTCTCCATTTCTATCTGCATTGGCTCAAGGACCAATTGAGTGGAGTCCTCTGACAGAGAGAATAAGAGCCTACATTCGGGAGGACTGGTGCAGGCTGTACACAGGGCAAGACAAGGATCTCATACAAGCTGAAGACAGATGTTCTCTTCTCTGCCTTTCTGCTTTGCAGCCTTGATCCATTCCCTGGTGCCTTTTACCCTCAACTTCACCATCACAAATCTACAATACACACCAGTTATGAAACACCCAGGATCCTTAAAGTTCAACAAAACCGAGACAGTCCTGCAGCACCTGGTAAGAGCCCTTATATAATGACCTTCCACTTCTCCCTCTTTTTTTTTTTTTTTTTTTTTTTTTTTTTTTTGGTTTTTCGAGACAGGGTTTCTCTGTGTAGCTTTGCGCCTTTCCTGGGACTCACTTGGTAGCCCAGGCTGGCCTCGAACTCACAGAGATCCGCCTGCCTCTGCCTCCCAAGTGCTGGGATTAAAGGCGTGCGCCACCACCGCCCGGCCACTTCTCCCTCTTAATCACCCCCAAATCTCTTACTCTTTTCTCTCTCCTTCCTCTCCAGCTTGCTGCTGTGTTCAAGAATACCACCATTGGTCCATTGTACGCTGGGTGCCAGCTGACCTTGCTCACGTAAGATGTCTAAGAATGTGTGCTTACACTCCTATGCTTCCCATATTCCTGACTCTCCCTGTTCCCCACTTGCCCATCAAAGCCACACTGAGTACTGGGGATACTCTCTCTACTGAATCTTCTCCCCAGTTTTCATCCTCTGAACTATACTATACACCTAACCAAGGTATATAATATAACCCCAGGAATAATTTCTCAGCAATGTTCAAAATTCTTCTCCATTCAAGAAAATGTATAAATCGAAACAGAATAGTTTCTGTGGCATGCTCACCTCTCTTTTTTAAAGATTTATTTTTATTTGACTCTGTGTGTGTGTGTGTGTGTGTGTGTGTGTGTGTGTGTGTGTGTGTGTGTGTGTGTGTGTGTGCAGAGTCACGTGTGTCTGCCCATGTGCATGCGGGTGTGTGCAGCAGTGAGATGACAACTTATTAGGAGTCATTGCCCACCTTCCACCTTGTTTATGAGTCAATCTCTCTTGTTGTTGCTTCCTCTGGGCTGCAAATGCAAACTTTCAGCTGATTCTCCTGTCTCTGCCTCCCATATCTCCATGTCAGTGCTCATGCTGGAATTATAGCTACAAACAATTATATCCAGTGTTTAAAGCTTATGTTGTTAAGGTTATACTATATGCAGTCTTCTCCAATGAGTTATCTGATTGCTTTACATGTTCATTTCATAAGCCTCATTGAAAGTACTCAAGGGGGCTGAAGAGTTTTGTGCACACACATGCACACAGCTAAGACAAAAAGGAAGTGCTAAGAAATGAAACAACTGTGTTATTTGCAAGGTCATTGAGCTAAATCACTATTTGTTTCTTAAGCTTATCCTGAGATGATTGACTAAATATTGTAGGAGGCTGGTACAAGTTAAACATTTCTAAATCTAAAATGCTCACAGCTCCAGAATATCTCTCTCTCTCTCTCTCTCTCTCTCTCTCTCTCTCTCTCTCTCTCTCTCTCTCTCTCTCTCTCTCTGGTATGAGAGAGTGTGTGCAGGTATATTGCTTGTCTGGGTGTCTTCAGCCCAAGGTTAACATGTCTGTCCTTCGTTGTTTCCCCACCTTATATATTTTTGGGACAGTCTCTCAGAAATCCTGAAGCTCACCATTTCATCCACACTGGCTGGCCAATGAGATACAGGGGTCACTCCCTCAGCTCTAGGATTAGACATATGCACTGCCATGCCCAGATGTGGTTGTGGCTGTTGGGATATGAACTTGGGTCTTCATGCTTGTGGAGCAAGCGTGCGCATACACAGATGGTTGTACACGTATCTATGTGCACATGCTTATGGAGGCCGGAGGTCAACCTCAGTTACTGTCCCTCCGATCTCACCACCTTGTTTTTGTTGTTATTGTTGCTTCTGTTTGGTTGGTTTGTTTCATTTTGGTTTTACAGTCTCTCATTGTCTTGGAACTTTTCAGTATGGCTAGGTTGACAGTGAACCTTCGAGATCTATCTGTTTCACATCGCTAGCATGGGGCTTACAAATGCATACCACCACACTCAGCTTTTTAACATGGGGTCTCGGATTGAGCTCAGCTGCTAATGCTTGCAAAGCATAGTTACTGACAGAGCCATCTGCCTAGCACTCTTGTGGTATTTTCTGACATGATTATTCTTTTTTTTTTCAAAAAAGGATTTTATTTTTGCTTATATTTATATTCATATGTAAGTGTATGTCTATATGTGAGCATGCATACCTGCATGTAGGTGCTCCTGGAAGATAGAAGATGTCAGATACCCTGGAGCTGCAGGCACAGGGATTGTGAGCTGTCCAACACATATACGCTGGTAACCAAATTCAGGTTCTCTGCAAGAGCACCAAGCATCATTAACTTATTGAGCCATATCTCCAGCCCTCAGACATAATCTTACAAGCCATCCTCATCATCTGTTTTGAATTTATTCTCATCCCTATATCTCCCTGCACTCAGGCCTGAGAAGGATGGATCAGCCACTGGAGTGAACATGATCTGTACCCATCGATCTGAGCCCACAGGCATGGGGCTGGACCCAAAGCAGCTGTACTGGGAGCTGAGTCATGAGACCCATGGCATCACCCAGCTGGACTTTTTGACCCTGGACAAGAACAGCCTTTATGTCAATGGTGAGTGGGTGAGCAGCTGCAAACTGCCTTCCCCAGGGGGTTCATTGTACAGTCTATACTCTGGACCACACACACACACACACACACACACACACACACACACACACACACACACAGAGACAGAGACAGAGACAGAGAGACAGAGACAGAGACAGACAGACAGACAGACACAGACACAGACAGACAGAAAGGGGAGACAGAGAGGGGGAGGAGGAGAGGAAAGAGAGGAGGAGAGGAAAGAAAGGGGGAGAGAAAGGCAATAGCTTTTGTGGAAATATAGGAGAGACTAGATACAGATAGCAAGGAATGGACATGGTACTGAGGTGAACTGCAGACAACCTGATAAAGAATTTCTTCTTTATGATCTAATTATATTTTCTGGGTTTTGTCTACAGAGTCTCTATTCGTGTGGGGTGTGTGTGTGTGTGTGTGTGTGTGTGTGTGTGTGTGTGTGTGTGTGTGTGTGTGTGTTTTGTTGGGGTTCAAACCCAAAGCTTTATGTATGCTAGGCAAGTACTCTACTATTGACCTCTGATTTTTACATCCAGTCCCCAGAATCTGCATTTTGACAACATTGGGTAAATATGACTTAAAAATAAATCCAAGTTAGGCCAGGCAACACTTACCTGTATCCCAGCTACTTGTATATGATGATACACACCTGTGATCTCAGCCACTTAAGAGAACTGTAAGTGGAAACATCGTGAGTTCGAGGTCTTTCTGGGCTATAATGTGGGACTCTGACTTAATCAAGTAGAGGCAATCTAGGGATCTAGATAAGTGGCAGAACAATTCCCTAGCATGTACAAGGCCTTAGATGCTTGCTCATTGATTCCAGGCTCTTGCAACTTTTTTTCATTCCTCATTCCTTGACTATTAACTTTTGGTCTTTTTCTTTACACAGGTTATAACCATTGGTTCCTGACCTCAACCACTAGCAGTGAGTATCATTTCACCTATTTTTTTTACCCCCTACCCCACATCCCTAGAAAGGGAAGGAGCCAAAATAGCCTAAGTTTTCCTCATCTGCATCTTTATTTCCTGACTTAGAAGAGATACTCCCAGAACAGATTCAGGCAGTGAAAATTATTTTAAGATCTTATGATGAGCAGCCCATGCCTAGGGAAGCCTTCTTTCTCTGATTCATTATAATTTTCATCTAATTGCTATGACTTTCTACTAGTATCCCGGCAATAAGTACAACTCGTGTCTTGGGGTCTTCGGGTATGAGCTTCCACTTTAGGTACCTTTCTACAGGTCTGGTAAAAAGGCTCAGTTGATGAAGTGCTTGCTATACAAGCACGAGGACCTGAATTCAATTCCCACCATGCACATAAATGCTGGGCATGGTGGTACGTATTGTAATCTTAGCACTGGGGAGGCATAGGAAAGTGTGATACCTACTACAAACTTCTAATGTCCTGTGACAGTGGTACATTAGGAAAGCCCTGAGGCTTCATTCATTCATTTATTTATTTGTTCATTCAACAAGTTTTTATTAAGCACTTACCGTGTTAAATGCCCTGATGATGTGACATAAACAAAATAGTATGGGCTCTAGACTGTGGAGAACAGACAGCAGAGCAGACAGAGAAAGAAAGTAGGACTATACAGGTAAGTGCTCAATTAAAATAGATGACTGTCACGGTGCTGGTGTGTGAGTTCACGTGGGTCCATAGAATAAAGACTCAGAGGCACCTGAAGAATGAATCTAGCCTTTTCCAGCTACAGGGGGATCCAGCCTCTAAGGACTGAAGTGCTTTCCTTTCACCCAGGGCATTTTTATTTTTCTCCATATTTACACTTTAGCAAGTTGATTTCGATATGTTCAAAATAAATTGAAAGAAGCTTCTAAAAATACAATGCCAAGAGCAAATTTCTGGATTCATCCGGTACCACAGTTTTCCAGGTTTCCCCAAACCAAGTTTCTCACAAGTTTTGTGTCCTTGGGAAACTCTCAGACAAGATTCACATAGGGTGGGCGATGGAAACAAAGGATACCTCTAAACAAAAGATGGATTAGGGCTAGGTGCTACTCTCTGGAGCCAGGCCAGGAGTAGGTAGCCCAGCGGGAATGCTGCCACAGACGACCCTAGTGTGGGACCCGCAGGTACATGGATGACCTTCTCTCTCCTTACTTTTCCAATGACCTGAGTCATCAGGGATAAGGGGCTTGAACAGTAAAGTGTTGAATTAGAGAACCAGAAATGAGAAATAAAGAAGATAAGAAATAAGAAGATGAAAAGACAAAGGAAATTTTGCATAACCTGATGACTTATGCCAAGCAAGTTAATTAAGAAGTCAGCATTATATGTACTGTTTCCAAGGGGGGAAATGGCCCAGCTCAGCAGAGAGCTAAGTCAAGATAATATTGGCAAAGAGAGAACAGGATATTTCACAGATACAGCTGCCTTAGGACTGATTACTACAGCCCAGAAAAAAAAGTCAGGTCCCTAGAAACCACAACCTCAACTCCTCCAAGGCACTGACTCCAGCATCAGACTAAAGTTTCTTCTGTCCTTTCATCAAGGACTCTGAGAAAGACCTGGATCAGTCTGGCGACTCCCCACATTCTTAGTGTGTGTGTGTGTGTGTGTGTGTGTGTGTGTGTGTGTGTGTGTGGTGTAGATGTTTGTGCATGCATGCATGCATATGCATGTGGATGCCAAAGATCAATGATGGGTGTTTTCCCATAGTCTCTCCACCTTAATTTTTGAGATAGTGTCTCCAACTGACCTGTAGCTCACCAATTCATCTGGCCAAGGAGCTCCAGAGATCCTCCTGTCTCTGCCTTCCAAGTGCTGGGATTACAGGTGTGTAGTGTAGCTCCACACTCAGCTTTTTGCATAGGTACTGAAGATCTGAAATCAGGCCCTCATGATTGTGAGACAAGCACTGGACTGACTGAGCCATCTCCACAGCCCCTTAGTTTTCAGTTAGGAAAAATGAGAACAACATACTATATGCATAGACCTGAGAACTACAACGTCATCTAGCATGGGCTGGCTCTACTTCAGCTGAGGTTCAGCATCCTATACACAGCCTTCTCATAGCTTGAGGGGCTCTGCTGAAGGTTCTGAAAGAACAGACACCACTCTTAGCTTATTCTATTCTCTTGTTTTCCATCACTGAAAGTGCTAGGGCTTGAGGTTCAAGGAGAACACTGAGGCAGACTGTGATTTTGGATAAGAGATACATTAGAAGAGTAATTAGTCCCATGGACAGGCAGAACAGTGGTGTGTCTGAGGTGATATCAAGCCCACGAAGCACCGTGATGATCCTTTCTTATAGATCTCAGAGGAAGAAAGTAGTTACATATAGCCAGGCTGCCCCTGATTGCTGGATGGGCAGCATGGGGAGGGAAGAGAGGGATCTTACATTTCCAGGAAGGAATATGTGACTCTTAGGTGTGGAGGAAGTCAAGAAGAGGGGCACATCTAGTTTCAGGTGTACCAAGCATAGTAGTGCTCTGAATGTGCCTGAGTGTGGCACCCTAAGATCTGTGAACTTCATGGGAATGGGGTGGGTATGAGGTGGGAGTGGGGTGGGGTAGGAGTGGGATTGGAGTGGGGTGGAGTGGGGGTGGGATGGGGTGGGGTAGGGGGACAGTATCTGTTATTCTCTTAGAATCCAGGAACCTGAAGAGTCTATTAGGGATTAGGGATTCACAGACAGGATTTCAGTAGGGTGCTTTCATTTCCCGTACAACGAAAATGAAGAAGCTGTTGCCGGTGGGCGTGGCCAGAACAGCAAACACCTACTGCTTCCGGGGTATACTGATCCGTGATCACTTGAGAAAGTTGAGGATCCGCTATCATCTGGACCTGCCGATGGACCTTGACAAGGGTTTGAGGAGACCAAGACTAGGCCACAGAGGCTGGCTTGACCCAGGCCGTGTAATTTGGAGACTGTATAAGTATTTGATTTCCCCTTGGCTCAAATTTTACATCTTTAAAACAAGCTTCCTAATACCATCTTCCACCAAATCAATGGCTCTGATTTAAGAAAAGCATGTAAAATGGAGTCTAACCCCAATATAACACATATATTTCTTCAAATAATTTTTCTCCTGTGTGCATGTGCATGCACATATGGGCATAGGTTGGCTTGCATGTGTGTGCACATGCCTATGGATGCTGAAAGCCATCCTTAGGTATTGTTCCACAGGTGCCTTCCAGTTTCTTTTCTGAGACAAGGCATCTCAATGCGCTGGAACTCACCAAGTAGGAGAAGCTGGCTGGCTAGTGAACCCCAGAAATTCACCTGTTCCTACCTCCCCAACACTGGGATTATAAGTGTATACCACCATGCCTGGCTTTTTGTAGATGGGTTCCAGAATCGAGTCCTCATCTTCATTCCTGACTTTAGTGACTGAGCCATCTCCCTAGTCCACTCTCTGCCTTTAAGAATACTTTTTAAATTAATTTTTACTTGTTGTGTGTGCACACAGACATGTGTGTGCATAAAAGATAGCATGGGTGTTGAGATCAGAGGAAAACCTATGGAAACTGGCTCTTTATTTCTACTGTGTGGGTCTTGGGTATCAAACCCAGATCATCAAGCAAGTGATTTGGCTGAGTCATCTCACAGACTCTTAAACCCTCTACTTTTATAAAAGGAGAGAAAGAGAGAGAGACAGAGACAGAGAGACAGAGAGAGTCAGAGAATATATACATGAGTTGCAGAAAAACAAATTGGGTTAAATGAAAACTCAGAAAACAAAGATGCATGTTAGAATTTTGTCAACACAGGATCTGGTGTGTTTAGTGTATGCACCATGGTGTACTAAACCCCACAGAGAAATTCTACTCATGCTTGATACATGACAGGTGATGTTGGACGCACTCTCTTCCCTGGGGAAGCTGTGATCCAGACTCTAGTGCTGGAAGATACCCACGTTCACAGAGGAAGCAGCAGCTCAGTATGTCTTTCTCCCACCCCCCACTGTAGGGCCGGTCTCTCCTCTGGTGCCTTTCACCATCAACTTCACCATCACTAACCTCAAGTATGAGGATGGCATGCGTCACCCTGGGTCCTGGAAGTTCAATGCCACTGAGAGAATTCTACAGAGACTGGTAAGAGCTCTGTTCAGGACATGCGGAATTTCCCACATATGTAAGCCATGCCTATGAATTAGACCACACTCTGCAAGAAGGCCACACCAACCTCAACCTTGTAACACAGATTCCAGTTTTACTCACAGATACTAGCTCCATACATCTCAGAAAACAGTTTGTATTCTCTTAGTTCTTGTATTCACAGCCTTCTCCCCTTTCTCCACAGCTCTGGCCTCTGTTCAATAAGACAAGTATTAGCCTCCTGTATTCTGGCTGCAGACTGATGTCGCTCAGGTGAGTCCTAACAAAAAGAAGCTAGAGATCCTGGATGTGTCCCAGACCCAAAGTGTGCCGGGCTTCCTTCCTTTTCTCCTGTCTGTACATTACCGTGTGGAATTTAGGATGCACTGGATCCAACATCCAACAACTGCCACTTCCGTCACCCCCACAGCCTGCAGACCATCCGCAGGTTGATGGCCTTTTCCTGTTCATCCATTCTGAATTCCCACCTCCATCCCCTCATTGAGGAACAAAAGGAACTTTAAATTCTACTCCCAGAATTTCTCTTGAGATACTGTTGTAGTTTCGTTTCTGTCACTGTGATAAAACACCTCAACCAAAAGCAGCTTAGAGGAGAAATGGTTTATTTTAGCTGAAACTTTGAAGGGATAGTCCATAATTACTTTCAGGGAAGTCCCAGCAGCTGATGATTGAGACAGTCACACCACACCCACAATCAAGAATAGAGAGAACTAAAAAGAGGAGTGCTCTCTTGCCTACACTCAGCTTGACTTCTCCACTCTTACACAGTTCAGGATCTGCTGCCTAGGGTATGGTGCTGACCACAAAGGACTAGGTATTCCCACCTTAATTAGCTTCATTAAAACCAGCTCCCACAGACGTGACCACAGGTCAACCCAGTGGAGATAACACCCCCCACCCATTTAAACTCTCTTCCCGGGTGATTCAGGTTGACAGTTAAAGCTAACCAGCACAGACGTTAATGTCTTTTCCTTTTGCTTTAATTCCCAAATCCTTATCGGTCTTAAATATGAACTCTCTATTCTTCACACCATCAGAATATAGATTAGTGTCTCACATTTAATAAAAAATCTTTCCTCCATGTCTACCCAGGCTCACAGGCTCTCAATACACTCAGAGACTCTAAGCCTGATGCATCACCTCTATATCAGTCATCCTATCTCCTCCTGGCTCCTTCCTCTCCTGCCCCCATCATCTTAAGATGCTTTCTAGGCAATCTCTTTATCATCATTCTTCTTATCTATCCTTCTCAGGCCTGAGAGAGACAAAGCAGCTACAGGAGTAGATGCTATCTGTACTCACCATCCAGACCCCACTGGATCTGAGCTGGACAATGAGCAGGTGTACTGGGAATTGAGTGAGCTGACCAATGATATCAGCCAGCTGGGCCCTTACACCTTAGACCACAACAGCCTTTACATCAATGGTGAGCAGTGGCCATACATGCTCTATTACACAGCATATATCCTCCCCTCTCAGCCTCTACTTCCTCACCCTACTCCATTCTCACTCTTTTATTATCTCTTCAGGTTATACATACCAGATCCTGTCCACCACATCCATGAGTGAGTATTGTGAGGCTCTGTAAGTATCTCCCATGCTGTAAGTCACAACCCCATGAAATAAAAACAAAAGCCCTACATTTCATTCCTAAAGCCCTCTCCATCTACAGATGCACAGAAACTTATGCTCATTTCCTAAGTCAGGCTAGGCATACAGCTCAGTAAAGTGCTTGCATCGGGCCTGGAGTTTGAGCTCTAGCACCCATGTGAAAAGCCGAGTATAGTGGTGCACATTTGTAACCCTAGCTCTAGGAGGAGTAACCGGGAGGCTCCTTTACTGGTCAGCCAGCCTTATTGAATTGAGGACTCACAAGTCTTTAACCTGGCCTGGACAATGAGCAATGTAATGGGAACTGAGCAAGCTGACCAATGGTATCACCCAGCTAGGCCCTTACACCTTGAGCTTAAAACACCAAGTAGAGGGTGCTTGAGGAAGAACCATACCTGAGGGGCTGGAGAGATGACTCAGCAAATAACAGTGCTAGCTGCTCCTCCAAAGGACCTGGATTCTATTCTGGATACCCAAAGGATGGCTCACAACCATCTATAACTCCAGTTCTAGGGAGTCAGATGCCCTTTTCCAGCCTCACTGAGCACCAGGCGTGCACATGGTGCATAGACATGATGCAGGCAAAACATCCCTACAAATAAAATAAAATAATTTATAAAAAAGAATGACACCAGATGTTGTCCCCTGGCCTTCATATACACCTGCACATCTGCACATTATTTATAGGAAGAAGTCTCAGGCATGTGCACTCCCCTCTGGTATCTTGAAAATGAAAGGATTTTCACTCTAAACACTAGGTATTTTTTAATCCTCAGCTTCTATGGTGACCACCATTTCTGGCAGAATGACAACCCCTGTCTCCAGTCCCACAGGTAGGAATTTTCTCTCTGAAGATACTCCTATAATTGCAGCAGGCAAAAGGAGGGATGGAGCATGTAGCACATCTCAATTCCCTGAGAATTCCTTAAATATCAGACCCAATAGGCCAAGACATTTTCTAAAATATATTCGTGAAACCTGTAGGCAGTCTGTAGTCTTAAATCCTTTCCTAGCCCTTTGAAGAGGTCAAACTAGCAGGGCTGCTAGGTGAGAACTGAAGTTGTTCTGTTTCAAAAACTTCTGTGTCAAAAGCCAATTCAGGGGCACAGGAGTAGCTCAGTAAAGCATTTGTTTTGCAACCAGAACCTGAATTAGATTCCTCAGACCCATGTAAAATTGCCAGATGTGGTAGGAAGCACTTGAAGTTTCAGTACATGGTGGCAGAGATAGGCAGATCCCTGGGCCTCACTGGACAGCTGGTAAGCTCCAGGCCAATGAGGTCTCTATCCCAAAGGAAGTAAGTGTTCCTGATGGTAATACCCAAGGTCATTCCTCTGACCTTCACACATGCACACAAATATAAACATGCACTGTCATATATATACACATTCACATTAAGAAAAAAATCAGATCTAACTGAATAGCACAGCCTCACATAGGTTGAGTGCATAGGAGGCATAGACTGCAATATATGTCCTATATTAACATTCGGTCCTGCCACTTACAGACTGTGACTTGGAAGCAAGCCCTTCATAATTTGCTGGGGGTTTTCCATTTGTATTCCATTCCATACTACTTGCATTGCATTATAATACCTTGTTCAGTGCAAGCAATCAGTCTAGTATAAGCAAAGAACTTCAAACTTGATCTGCTACACATGGACAGTGGGTAAGATGACTTAGGGAGCAAAGGCATTTGCTGCCAGATGGACTGATTTTTATTCCTGGGACCTACACGGTGAAAGGAGAGAACCAGTTCCTGAGAGTTTTCCTCTGGTCTTCACATCCATGCTTTGGCATGCACACACACAGTCATCGCTAAACAAACAAACCAATACATTCTGGCACAGTCTCTATTGAAGAATTGTTTTAAATTAATAAGTATGTAAACTTCAGAAAAGACTTGGCCTTAAAAAGGAACTTCAGGAAAGGAAGCAACCTATAGAGATTTTGCCAACTGGAGAGACAGATATATTTTCTTTCTGCTTCACAGTGAAGTCACCCACACACATCAATCCTTTGTAATTTAGTTGAAGTTGGGGTGAGGTCTCGTTTCCAAGGAAACTGTGTTTCCTAGAGGAAGATTCTCCTCAGTGCAAGACTATGCACACAGCTGATTCTCCAAGCTCAAGTTCAGAGGAAAATAATAGCTTAGTATCTGTCTTTCTCCTGCCCCCTCTGTAGCAGCAAGCCCTGTCCTGGTACATTTTACTATCAACTTCACCATAATTAATTTGGCATTTGAGGAGGACATGAGTCGCCCTGGATCCAGAAAGTTCAATATCACTGAGAGAACCCTGCAGAGCCTGGTGAGAATTCTGTTCACTATGCCTAGCACCGCACACAGGTATAAGCCATGCCTACCTGTCACACAAGCCCCTGGAAGAAGAATCTACCACTGACCCCAAAGATAAATCTTCCAAGAAGACCTGGCCTATCTCAGCCTGACCCCAAGGATGAAATGTCTCAATACCTTGCCAGCCTGACTTCTGCCTCACCTCTACCTGCTCATCTCTCCTCACTCCTCTAACTTTCTTCCACAGCTGAGGCCCTTGTTCCAAAAATCCAGTGTTGGTTCCCTGTATTCTGGCTGCATACTGACCTCACTCAGGTGGGTTTGGGGGATATGGAAATGGGGTGGCAGACCTAAAGGTGTACTGAGTTTCCTTCTGTTGTCCTTCTGGGTAGCTTCTGTTCAGATGAAGTGAGGAAGCCCTAACACAAGGTATCTTCCAATCCTACCACCTCCCCGCCGCTATCTCCACACCCAGTAGACTATTGTCACAATTTTAACTATTCCTGATTATCCTGTTTGAACTCTCAATGCTGTTTTCTGCCTTTGGAATAAAAGGATGTGGCCGTACACATTCCAGTTCTGTACTCTGACTACTGTGAAAACAAAAATGGCCTTTTTCACTTGCTGTCATTTCTAAATCCAGTTCTCATTTGTCTTAGATATGTGAGCGCCTCAGATACCGGAACATGAGAGTGGACATTTGAGTCCTGTGTTTGATAAAAATTCATGGCTCCATGACTTCTCATTGTCTCAGTCTAGTAGAAATCAATACGCTAAGAATCTGACTCTGACTTCTGGTCTTTTCCAATCTTCTTTTTTTCCTTTTTAAACATTGTTTATTTGTTTGAAACACATATATAAGCGTGTGTATGCATTTGTGCATGTGTACGTGTGTGTGTGTGTGTGTGTGTGTGTGTGTGTGTGTGTGTGTGTGTATGAACACACAGTACCACGGTGTTCATGTGGGAGTCAGAGTATAATTTATTGGCACCACCATGTGGGCCCCAGGGATGGAACCCAAGTTGTCAGGACTGGTGGCAAATTCTTCCACCTGTTGATCTATTGCTCTGGGCCTCTATCAACCTTTTCATTTACTCTGGCTACTCCTTGCCCTACCCTAGCATTTCAGGACACCTTCTTAGGGAATCTATTTATTGTGCATTGTCTCACCTGTCCTTCCCAGATCTGAACACGATGGTGCAGGCACAGGAGTGGATGCTGTCTGCACTTACCATCCTGACCCCACTGGCCTGGCACTGAACAGAAAGACGATGTATTGGGAGCTCAGCAGGCTGACCTATGGTGTCAGCAGACTGGGTCCTTACACTCTGGACAAGAGCAGTCTCTATGTCGATGGTGAGCAGTGGCCACCTTCACTTTGCTTTAACGAAGAGCCCACATTCTCCTCTCTTTTACTTCCACATCACCATTTCCCTCCATTTTAACTCTTTCTTTCATTTTCTTTGCAGGTTACACACATCAAATCCTGTCTACCACCACCAGGAGTGAGTATTCTCAGTTTTTATAAATTTCTACTACACCTATGACTCCCAGGTCTTTGGAATGAAAGCAGTCAAAAGTCTAATCTCCATTTCTCAAACTGATGTGAGACTGTTCCTGGAGAGACATGACACACAAACATTTACTCATCCCAGAGAGGGAACTGATTGTACACCAAAGTAGCAATTACACTACCATTCAACTTGGGTAACCAGTGAGTTTATTAGGGTTACTCACAAGAGCAAGGGATGACTCAAAGGCAGCTTCATCGTCAGTCACCCCCCTAGCACTGGTGAAAACTCACAGAAGCTGCATTTATGAAGCTCTCTACTTGGCTTGCAGGCAGTTCACCAGGTCAGAGAGTCTCTTCCAGGCACCTCAGATGGTCAGAGGCTTCTCCCTTAAACATTTTTCTCTCTTCTATAACCTTGGACTCTAAGAATCTCCTAGCTTTAGCTTTACCAGACTTGTGAGGTTTGTTTATTTTTCTGTCTCCTGAGCCTCCCCTCTCCTTTTTGGAATGCATATTTTAATTCAAAGGAAATTGCTAAATGATACAAGTTTCCCTCATCTCTAGCCTGGAATGGACAGAGACTTTAACACAAAATTAACCCCAACATCTGTATTCTCTCCCTGATGTCTCCAAGCTAAAGGGTTTCTACTTTAATCATCTGAGAATTTACCTCCACAGCTTCTATGATGACCACTGCTTCTATAAAAATGACTGCCAACTCTCCCAGCCCTACAGGTAAGAATTCTCCTCTCTGAAGATGTTTTCAGTGGTTTTAGAATCTTTAGAGTCTGGAGAAGGAGTGGATGAAATGACATGTTCCAGAGGATCCTAAGGTTGACTCTTGATGACTCTCACAGGTTCTTCCCAGGCCACAAAGAATCTTTTTAATCCTATCTATTCTCTGATACTCAGAATCTCTTGTAATTTTTTCTCATGCTTATTGGTGGCCATGGACTTCTAAATCCTTCCCCATCCCTTAGAAGGATACATAGGAGCAGGACTGTTGGCTGAGACTAGATATCTAGTGTGCAGTCACTAGTGTGCTATCAAGTGTCTCAACAAAGTTATTATTCTGGATAATTCATCATATATATATATATATATATATATATATATATATATCCCTTAATATAAATGTGTATCAGATTCTTTACAATGTGTAAAAGCTATAGTTGTATACTTATAAAGAAAATTTGATTTGTCCAAAATTGATGAACCATGGCAAATCATTCCTATACTTTCAGGATTATGCTTTTCATTTATTTCCAACTCATCTGTAATGTTTTTATTGTGAGAACTATAAAAAGTATCAAGCCTGTAATAGTTCAGTGGGTAAAGGCTGCAAATATGAGTTCAATCCCTGAGACCCACATGGTAGAAGGAGAAAACCAATTTCCCAGGTTGCCCTTTGACCTCCATATGCACATGCTCATACAGATGTGCATACATCCTCCCTAACACAGAATTTTTAAAACCTAAAAAGTTAAAGTTGGAAAAAATATCAAAAATATCTCAAAGCAGGGCAAGGAAAACCCATCTGTCACCCTTTGGAATTTAATCTCTGTTAGCAGCTTCTCCTAATTTAATCTAGTATGCAGAGAGCTATATCATATGGTGATGTAAGTACTCCCCCAAATTTCACTGCTATGCTAAATTATGATGATTCAAAATCAAAAGGCTTGGTTACAGATACAGCTTAACTGGTAAAGTGCTGGCCTAACATTCATGAAACCCTAGGTGTGATCCCCCAGCATCACTTAAACTGTGCTGGTGGATGCCTGTAATGACACTACTTAGAAGATGGAGCCAGGATGGTGTTTGTCATTCTTTACTACATAGCTAGCTAGAGACTGGGATAGGCAATATGAGAACTTGTCAGAAAGAATTGTAGGATTTATATTAAAAATTGGTGTTGAGGGCTGGAGAGATGGCTCAGCGGTTAAGAGCACTGGCTGTTCATCCAAAGGTCCTGAGTTCAATTCCCAGCACCCACATGGTGGCTCACAACCATCTATAATGAGATCTGGTGCCCTCTTCTAGCCTGCAGGCAAAACATGCAGGCAGAATACTGTATGCATAATAAATAAATAAATTTTGAAAAAAATTGGTGTTGAAGTATAGTGCTTGAAAAATGTCAATTATATAAAGGTAATCAGAATCTAACACAATAACATAAGCTCACATATGTCAAATGAATAAGCAATATATGAACACTACAGTAATATGTCCTGTATTCAAGTTGGATTCTGTGATCTGGGCAATTTACTTAATTTCTCATTAGCTCAGGATTTTTTATTCACATTGACTGGTTGCTTGCTCTGTGTGTGTGTGTGTGTGTGTGTGAGAGAGAGAGAGAGAGAGAGAGAGAGAGACTCTGTGCACAAGGGGAAGTCAGAAGACAACTGGAGTCTGTTCTGTCCTTCCACCACATGGGTTTCAGGGGTATAACTTCGGTCATCAGGCTTGGCAGAGCAGCTTAACCCAGTGAGCCATTTTTGCCAGTCCTCACGGCCTCAGTGTTTGAATTTGTGAAATGGACATCATAATAGCCACTTGGTTCCCAGTAGCAACTCCATTGTGTGTAAGCTCATTAAACAGGACCTCTCACACAAATGACCAACATATGTTTCTTAAGAATAAGAATCAAAATAATAATAAGGGCTGGTGTGATAGTTGAGTTCTAAAGTGCTTTTTTTTGCAAGCTTGAGGATCAGAATTCAATTCCCCAGAACCCATGTATGCTAGAGAGAGAGGGAAGGAAGGAAAGAGAGACAGAGAAAGAGGAAGAGAGAGGGGGGAAGGGAAGGAAGAAAAGGGAAGAAAAAAGGAAGTGACGTGGTGTCACGTGCTTATAATCCTAGCTTGTGGGAGACAGAGCCTTGAGGATCACTGGAACTCAGTGGACAGCCAGTCAAGCCTACCTGAGGAGTACCCGGCCAATGAGAGACCTTGTCTCAAAAAGAGCAAGATGGACAGTCCTTGAAGGAAAACAATCTAGGCTGTGCTCCCTCATCTATACATGTGCACTCCCACAGGCACAGGCTGTCAAACACATGTATACAAGCACACACATGTGCACATATACTCAATCACAGATACATCTAAACATACACACACGTAATCAGTAAATAAGTAGATGTCAAGAACACATTTTGTTTAAACAAAAATTCCAAAAGGAGAGTATTTATGTGACTTTCATTCTCCTGAGAGTCAGATATAATTCCTTTCTGGTTAATAGCATATTTACCAGTCTAGAGTAATCCTATTCATCCTTAGTAACTATCAGGTGAAACTGATATTTGAGTCTTCTCTATGAGGAAACTGTCCACTTTTGAAGAAACCCCTTCTGAGTGATAGAAGATGCACATTGGTGATGTCCCAGCTCAAGTTCGGAGAGAGAAAATAAGATAATGTTCAGACACTGTGTTTCTCACATCTCTTCTCTCCTCCTGCAGTAATAAATCCCCTTCCAGTGCCTTTTACCATCAACTTCACTGTCATTAATCTGGAGTATGTGGAGGACATGGGTCACCCAGGATCCAGAAAGTTCAAAGCCACCGAGAGAATCCTGCAGAGACTGGTGAGCTACCCACTCCAGTATATAAAGGTCAACCCACAGATGAAAACTGCACTCACCAAACCATGTCATGATCAGGAAGAAGGCCCTAAGCCCTAAATCCTCAGCATAGTTCTCATGCCTCTCTCCTCTCTCCACAGCTCAGGGCACTGTTCGGTAAAACCAGTGTTGGCCCACTGTTCTCTGGATGCAGACTGACATTGCTCAGGTGAGACCTTATAACAACAGGCTAGGAGAGATAGTTCAGTCAATAAAGTGCTTCCTGACCAAGCACGGGGACCTAAGTTTGGTCCCCAACACCCACCTAAAAAGCTAGTCATGATAGCATGTGCTTATAAACCCAGCACTGGAGAAGTAGATACTGGAGGGTCCCTGGGATTAGTTGGCCAGTCAACCTAGCCAAATCAGTGAGACCTAGGTCTGAGAGAGAGAGAGAGAGAGAGAGAGAGAGAGAGAGAGAGAGAGAGAGAGAGACAGACAGACAGACAGAGACAGAGAGACAGAGACAGAGGCAGAGAGATAACAATCTAAAAAACACAAGATGGATGGCTCCCAAGGAAGAGTAAACACACAAGTTATTCTCTAACCTCCATGTGCATACATAAGCATGAACACACACACATATACACCATCATGCTCCCCCAACAACAGATTTTATAAACACACACACACAACACATACACACACACCACAAGGATGGTGGACCAATCATACCTCAGGTATTTCTAAGCCAGTTTATTCAGCTTTCCTCCTGTCTTTATGTTCTCAACTTTGGGGAATTTAGGACACATAACCTCCAGTGCCACATTACTTCCTGTTCCTAACATTTGTCCTCAGTTATCCCCATAGCCTGCAACCCCCACAGGATCTAATATTCAGCTATTCTTAATTCTTTCCTTTATCTCTGACTTTGGAATAAAGGAGGTGATTTTAAGTTTAGTGCATAGGACTTCTCTTAGGATAATTGTCTGCTCCCAATTCCAGTTTTCATCTATTGTAAATATGAGCCCTCTAGGCACTGTGACATGAGGATGTAGTTTGAGTCTTGCATTACATTTAACAGTTTCACTCCATGTCTGCTCATGGCCATAAAGAGTCAGTATATTCAGAGAGTGTAAGCCTGTCTTTTCAGCAATATACCAGGTGATTCATTTCTTCTGGCCCTTTCCAGTCTTATACCAGACACTTCTGGATCCCTCCCTAAGTAATCCATTTAATGTCAATCCCCTTGCCTGCCCTTCCCAGGCCTGAGAACAATGGAACAGCCATGGGAGTAGATGCCATCTGCACCTACCACCCCAACACCTCTAATCAATGGCTGGATAGAGAGCATCTGTACTGGGAGCTGAAAAGATTGAATGATGGCATCATGCAGCTAGGACCCTACACCCTGGACCAGAACAGTCTCTATGTCAATGGTGAGCTATATTTCAGAGTCATACTCCTCTCCTCCCACACCGCTACTTTCTCAATTCCTCCTCATTTTCACTCATTTTTCATTATCTGTGTAGGTTATACACAGCACATTCTGGCCACCACCCACAGAAGTAAGTATCTTGAGTCTCCATTATTCGTTAGTAAGCCCATGAGTGTGAATCCCTACCCCATGCTTGTAACTCACCTTCATTTAGCTATGAATGGGGAAGGTGTCACTTCCTTGTATCTCCTAATGCATGGGGTCTCCAGTCAAAACACTTGAATTATTTTTACTTTTCAGCATCAGTAATGGCCACTGTTTCTGAAGAAATGCCAAACATTTCCTCCACTCCCACAGGTATGAATTCCCCTCTGTTTAGATTCTCCCAGTCATTTAAAAGATCAGCAGAGGTCTGGGGCAGATGAAAAACCCCAGAGGACCCCAAATGGATCTCACAGCATCTTCCCAGGTCACCGAGGAATCTGCCATACACTTCTCTAGCACTGCACCCTTCATCCTAAAACATCCCCTAGTACCTGCTTCTGAATCTTACTGGCCCTTGAATTCTACATCACCCAACCTCCCTGACAACAGTACATCCCATCAGGGCTATTTGCTGAGGGTATTTATTTAGTCTATAATAGTTGACGTGTGGAGAACCAGCACATTAAACAATCAAATCTGTAGTTTAACAACTAATCAGTGAGTTTGTTTCAATAACTACTTTTGGCACTAAAGACATAGCTTAGGTGCCAAAATGCTTGTCTAGCATGCACAAAATTCTGAACTCCAACCAGCATCACACAAATTGAGCACTGAAGTTCTTGCTTGTAACTTGGGAGGCGGAGGCATAAGGACCTGAAGTTTAAGGTCATCGTTGGCCACATAGAGAGTTTGAGGTTAGCTTGGGCTACACAAGAGCTAGGGGAAAAAAGAAGAAAAAACTTCTTTTGTTGAATAGACTAAATAGATAAGAGGATATTCTTCTTGCTAAATTTACCAGTATCCCCCAGTGTAAGTGTGTATCAACTTCCTGACTACAAAAGTATAATCATATCTTATTAGCAGAATTTTAAATGTTTGATTTGTCTAAAATCTATGAACCAGTCATTTCTGGATTTCCTGGATTTCTTCCCCAACTATTCTACAATATTTTCTTTGTGAAAATACCAAAGATACCAGAAACACCTTTACAAAGAGCAAGAAAATCCATCTGCTCGCCACTGGGATTTGGTGCTTGTAAACCACTTATGCTTTGATTCTAGCAGTGTGAACTAGCAGTTGTTCTGGGGTACCCTAGTCTGCGAGTCCAGGAAGGGCAGACACACGCTCCGCTCTGCACACAGCCGTGAGCTTTGGCTCTGGCAGTGCTCAATGGCTACCTAGTCAATCGGGTGACACAAACGTTTGTATAAGTTACTTTCCTCATTGCTGTGACAAAATACTCAACAAGAAGCTTCTTTAGGGAGGATGGGTTTGTTCTGGTTTTCCGTTGAAAGGGCATAATCTACCGTAGCAGAGAAGGCAGAGGAGTGGAAGTAGGAGACTGACTGACCTCATTGCATCCAAAGTCAGGGATTAGAAAGGAAGTGGAGCTGGGCTCACTTCTTCCAGCAAGGCTCCACCTCCTAAAAGTTGCACAACCTTCCCAACCAGTGCCTCCAGCTGTGCACCAAGAATTCCAACACATGAGACGATAGGAGACATTTCTCCTTCAAACCACAGCAAGACTCCTAAAAACTAGACTGCTATGATACATTGTCATGTATTCAAACTGAGGGTTTGTATTGAAAATACCATTGAGAATCAACACTCTCAATGTTGTCAAAGCTCCCCTAACAACCACCACCATGCAGGCCCTGCCTACCTGGTGACCAGCCTTGCCGATTGGCCTGCAGGCTGGTATCCCGTGCTCTGATTGGCCTGCCACTTCCCCTGAGCGAACCTTTAAAACTCTGTTACATTGTAGTAAAATGGCGACTGTCATTCACAACTCCCTGAAAGCTCTTGGGGACCAGTTCTACAAGGTAGCCATTGAGCACTGCCAGAGCCAAAGCTCACGGCTGTGTGCAGAGCGGAGCGTGTGTCTGCCCTTCCTGTGGACTCGCAGACTAGGGTACCCCAGAACAACTGCTACATCTGGATGGAAAAGAGGCACCGAGGCCCAGGCCTTGGTCCAGGCCAGTTGTACATGTACCCTGCCGGCTGCTGGCTCAAGAAGCGACGATTGCATCCACCAGAGGACCCAAAGCTTCGACTCCTGCAAATAAAACCTGAAGTAGAGCTGCCCCTGAAGAAAGATGGCTTTACCTCTGAGAGCACCACATTGGAAGCCTTGCTTCGTGGTGAAGGTATGGAGAAGAAAGTGGATGCCAGAGAGGAGGAAAGCATCCAGGAAATACAGAGGGTTTTGGAAAACAATGAAAATGTAGAAGAAGAGAATGAAGAGGATGATTTGGAAGAGGACATTCTCAAGCGCAAGAACAGGACCAGAGGACGGTCTCGTGGCTTTGCAGGTGGCAGGAGAAAACATAATGTTGCTTCTCAGGAAGACTATGACAAACCCTACATCTGTGACATCTGTGGAAAACACTACAAGAATCGACCGGGGGACTCAGCTACCACTATGCTCACACTCATCTGGCCATCGAGGATGGGGATGAAGCCCAAGACCAAGACACTTGGTCCCCACCCAACCATAGAAATGACAACCACAGACCCCAGAAAGTACCAGATGGGACAGTCATTCCCAATAACTACTGTGACTTCTGCTTGGGGGGCTCCAACATGAACAAGAAGAGTGGGAGGCCTGAAGAGCTGGTGTCCTGTGTAGACTGTGGACGCTCTGCTTATTTGGGAGGAGAAGGCACGAATGAGAAGGAGGCAGCGGCCGCAGCACATACCACGGAGGACTTACTCGGTTACACATCAGAAAGTGACACCTCAACTTTCTACGGCTTTGATGAGGATGATTTGGAAGAGCCTCGCTCCTGTCGAGGACGCTGCAGTGACTGGGGTTCACCCACAGCAGATAAAAAGGGCAGCTGCTGAGTCCATGGGACAGACTTTCTGGCCAATTAGCCACCCCCTCTGACTCTGGTCACTGTTCTAGTTCTGATATATATATAATTTATTATATATATATATATATATATATATATATATATATATATATATATATTTATTAAATGAAAGATGACTTGGGCTTTTCCCGTTATCCTTGCTTTTTTCTCCTACCTTCCACGGGTCCCTTCCCCTCCTAGCATCCTTCTATTCTGGGTGCAACAGAAGCACAAACTACTGAAAACAAATCAGCGAAAGAGCAGAATAAGAGTCCTCCAGGGAGAGATGGCACCATGGTGGGCTATTTATTTTCCCTCGAAATAGGAAGTTAGGTGGATTTTCTTTCTGCTGGGGGAGGGCATCTTTTTTATGTGAGCAGAGTTGATTTCCCCAGTTTTCAAGAGAAGAGGAACATGAGATTTGGAAACAAAGAACAAATAACATTGATAATTATTATTTATATATGCTAGCCATTATTAGATTCAGATGAGGGAAGAGGGAGAGAGAGAGAGAGAGAGAGAGAGAGAGAGAGAGAGAGAGAGAGAGAGAGAGAATGGATGAATCAAAGAAATGGAAGTAATATCCTGTTTAGAGGCAAGCCACGGGGTGTGTGTGTGTGTGGAGAATTTCCTCAATGCGAGTTGGTGGCTCTGCAGAGCAGACCCCTCCATGACCTTTACATCTTTCTCTCTGCTTGTGAGAAAATGGCAGCCATTCCAGAGAAGCCACTTACATTTGGCCTCCCTCCAGCTCTGGCCCTGAACAGCAGTGGCCACTTCCCTTGGCTCCTCTCTCCCTTCCTTGTTGCTGGGTTTCCCTCACCTTCGTCTTGGTAAAGATGAGTGTCCATCTGAACACAGGAATGGAATGTCAGCAAGGCACAGGCTCGGCCCTGGCAGAGCCACTGAGGTGCTGCTCCTGGAAGGAAGAGCAATACTACACAACGTATCTCCCTCCCTTCGCCCCTGCGTAAAAACATGTAGCCACCCATTGGAGGATGACGCCTTCCGTATTTCTTCTACTTTTTAGAGTGCCTGCTAGGCACTTAGTTTTATCTTTCCAATAGCATTTCTTGTAATAAACCAAAGCAACACTTAGTCCGAGGCCTCAGGGATAAGGAAGACTATCCACCTCATTGGCAGTCCCTGTTAACAGCTGGGAGGCCCTGCTCAAACAGTCCACTCTGTGACCCAGGAACTGTGCATCCTTCAAGCAAGCCATTCCCGAAGAAGGTGAAGAGAATCCAGACGGCTTTCCTCCCCTGCCTCTCCTTCTCTCATCCAGCCCTTCCTGAGCATGAATTTCAACTAATGCCAGAACCTGCGGGGATTGGATGGAAAAGCCTCCAGCATCTCTCAGCTCAGCTCAGCCAAGTTTCGGAAACGGCTCAAGTTTGTGCAATAAGATTTTCATTTTTTCTTTTTAAAATTCTTCGTTGCCTCTGCTTGAAATTTCTGTGAGAAAATACCCAGCTCAGAGTGGAATTTGCACGCAATAGAAACAACAACATAAACTGACAAAGACTAAAAGAAAAGTGAACTATTTTATTTATTTCAATATTTAAAAGAAAAAAGTGCTGACATTGCACGGTATTTTTGTTGAAAGTACCTTCTACTCCAAAAGTTTAGAAAAAAGCAATTTTGTGAAGACCTGAAATCAAAAGAGTGCTTACTGTAAAATAAAGGCATTGTATTGACTCTAAGGAAAAATACCCCACATTTTAAATAAGGAAATAAAGATCAACTCTGCTCTCTCAGGCTTTTAAGAAAGCCACGTGTATGTGCTTTAGGTTTTTTCTGTTGTTGTTGTTATTGTTAATTTCTGCTAGTTGGATGTGGTAAGTGAGGAGTAGTCAGTTTGTCCAAACTCCACCGGAAAGTATTGTTGATATTAAGAAATTATGTGTTAGACTTTGACTAAAATAAATTAGCCCCAAGTCAGCAGGTGTCCACTCTCTACCCTCCCTCACCTCAGATGAGCCCCACTGATCTGAATGTAAAGCTACAGCCTGTCCATCTTGTCTCATGAGGCCTGCTCTAGGAAGGGATTCTACCCGCTGATTGAATGCATTGCTGCAAAGTTTAGCAGATCCAAACTGAAATGCTTTTGTTTAGAACAGTTCAATGAAGAGAAACAGAAGAACCAATAATAAGCAGAGGATGAGGTGACATTAGTTCAGTCCGCTGACAGCTCCTCAAAGGAGCTGGCCAGGGAAGCCCTACTGAGTGGCCTTGTTGGGGAGGGGCTGACCTAGAGTGCCTCTGAAGACCAGGGAGTTGGCTAGAGGATAGGAA